GGCTGTCTGTCATCAGTGCATGCAGGGAGGAGACTCAGGGCTGCATTGACAGCAAGGAGAATGGAGTGTCTCAGGCTCCCAAGAGTTCCCGATTCGTTGGGCCAAGGAAGGGCTGATGAGGTATCCATACCTCCACCCACCCTTTCTCCTTAGGAGAGAGTTCCATCCAATCCTTGTCACCTCTGGTACCCCTTCCACTGCTGACAAGTCTTTAAACTACCTCCTCTGCTTTGGATCTCTGGACTCATGGAGCCTACCTGGTCCTACCTGCCCTTCACCCTGGATAGAGTCTCAGTCTCCCAGTGTGTTCTGCCTGCCCCTGGTGCCCAGCCCCAATAATCACCAGAACCCAATGTAATGTGGGTTTGTGCTCCCAGAGCAGATCTCCAGGGCCAGATATGAAGCGCTCTTGGCTTCTACCCCCTACCCGCTCAGTGCCTCTTTCTCCCTCCTGTAGGCTGGGGTGGGGGAGGGCTTAGGTACCGCGCAATCTTGGGTTTGCTGCCTCACCCTTTGCTGCATGGTCCTCTCTTCTTCCCTGGCTGTAGGAGGTCTGCTCTGTAGTCTTTCAGGTCATTTTCAGGTCTAGTTGCATTTGCTGCATTTTCCTCTTTTATGTGTTTTTGGGAGGAGGTTTCCATCTTGCCTTCCTATTCCGCCATCTTTAATCTCCCTTCACATCCGAAATTGTCATAAGTAATTCACATTATTTAAAGTTTGGCAATATGAAGATAAAGATAGTATTTTTAACTTGCATTTCATTTCTTATTAGTACATTTGACTCTCATTATCTTATTGAATTTTATTTCTTCTTTGTAAATTGCTTCATATTCTTTGCTCATTTTCTTATGCAGGATTAATATTTACTGATCTAGAATAGCTCTTTATATATTAAAGATGAACTCCTGTTATTCTTTATATAGTAAAGAAAAACTTTTGGCTGCATAAATTTTTTCCAGTCTTTTGTTCACTTTTATTCTCTTTTCACATAAAAAAAGTTTAAAATTTTTATGTGCTAAAGTTACTGATTTTTTTCTTTGTAATTGCTTTCATTACTTTTAGGCTTAGAAAGTCTTTCCCTACTTCAAAACTAGTTAAATATAAGTGTATATTTATATTCACTGATTCCTTTGAACTGAATCCATTTGGAATTCTTACTCTGGTAACAGTTTTAAACAGTTTTAAATTGGTATGGCCTTTCTAGAAAATGTTTTTGTAATATTTGTAGAAACTGTAAATGAGTTGTATTCTTTGCCCCAGTGATTCCACTTCTCAGAATCTAACTTCCGAAAATAATTGTACAAGGTTTCTACATTGTACATGAAAGTCACCAACACCATTTATAACAGCAAAAAAGAGAAACAACTTAAACATCTCTCATGGGTGGTAGAGTGAGTAAATATTCTACTACATTTTCCAATGTGAAAAGCACAAGCCATATGTGGCTAGTGGCTACCGTATTAGATAGCACAGGTGTAGAACATTCCCATTCTCATAGAAGTTTCTATTTAACAGTGCTGCCCTGCAGCCATTAAAACCAGGTTTTTAAAGATTATTTAGTAGTATTAAATATATTCATAATATAACAGTAAGTAAAAATATCAAAAAACAAAATATTTGGTGGTACTACAAATTCAAATTGCTTGCAGTAACTTTAATCATCAACATCTTTATCAAGTTACATTTTTTCAAAGGACATCTAAACCTTGCCCTCATGAAGCTCACTGTCTTGAAACAGAAAAAAGGAAATCTAAAAATTCACAGGTGCATAGGTATCTAGTGAGTGCATGGGGAAACCTAGCACATGGCACCAACCCAGTAACTGTTAATTGATTAAAAATCCAAATGGGAATTATCATACTTGTAAGGTTGAAGGCACTGGGGGGAAGGGTGAGCATGTCAGACCCTGATGACGTGCCAAAGTCCCCAGCTGCTGACTGTCCCAACCTGAAAAATGTGCCTTAGGCTAGCCAATCCTCACGCCACTGTAAATCTAAGCTCTGCCTCCCCCTACCTTCTTTAAAAACTCGCTGCCTGTCTACTTCGCTGCCTGTCTACTTTCACGTGACTTCCCTGGCCTGTGACAGCAAGGCTGCGGAACCTCGCCCAGAGGTATTCACATAAATTAACTGGCCCTTTGTTGCCTCTCTTTGCCTGCTTATTTTGGCTAGAATTTATCTTACAATACTGAGTCAGATGCAAGACCTAGTTAACAATGTATTCTGGGTGATAACTTACTTCAGGAAATGGTGCCTATAAAGAAACCTACAGGTAATTTGTTTGCCACCTTCTTACTGAGAACAGCTAAAAAAGCTAAACAAAATGTATTATTTTGTACAGATCTTGAGAGTATCAGTTAACAACATAGTGAGAAAAAAGATCTCGGAGAAGGGGAAAATTTAAAGAGGAAGGCTCAGCATTTGGGATCATTTTGTCTAAGGCATGTTTGTTAGGCCAAAGTGGTATCTCCGAGGCTGAACACCACTTTGGTTGCTTAGTAGGGAGCCAAAAGTTGAAGTCCAGAGTCTACCAAAGATTAAGTGATCTGATAAACCCTATGTATTTGGTGCAAAACAGAAACAAACCAGGTCTTGAAAGGACTGTAATCCTGCTTTGAGCCATTTGGGGTTGCCCAGAGAAGTCTCAAGCCATTAAGGTGGACCAAAATGATTCCAGATTGTAATTCCTCCAGCTACCTCACAGAAACAACCCAAAACTTTCTCTAGCATAATAGATCATCATCCTAGGCCTCAAACTATTTCTACAAATGAACATTTGAATATATTGTCCATCATGCAATCAAAGATGATTTGTGTTGCACAAGGAGAGAAGAAGAGAAACAATGAGAACAGTTCCTGAGGGTCTCCAAGGTTTGGAATTATCAGTATGGACTTTAAAATAACTATGTTTAATTTGCTTAAGAAAATAAAAAAATTGTTGAAAGCTTTGTAAAATAGCTTGACATTCCAAAAAGGGACAGAACAAATTTAAAAAAGAACCAAAGAGAAATTCTACAACTAAAAAAAAAAAAAATGCAATAACTGAAAAAACTCAATGGATGAGTTTAACAGCAAATTAGACATAACTGAGAGAGAACTCTGAACTGCAATATACATTGGAATGAAATATAGAAAGGTGAAAGCTGGAATAGAAGAGAGCATGGAAAGCATAGAGGATATGGACAGAAAAATCTAACATGGGGATCCCATAAGAAAGTGAGCCAAAGCAATTTCATAAATAATGGCTGAGGATTTTCCGATGAATCCACAAGAACATTCATGAAGTCCTAAGAACCTCAGACAGAAAAAAGTCAGATAAAATCCACACCTAGAACCATCACATTAAAGCTACAGAAAGCCAAAGATGAAAAGGAAAGTTTTAAAAGTTGTTGACAATAAAATATTACTTTTAGAGGAACAATAGTTTAAAACATTGCTGATTTTCAGCAACAAGGGAAACCAGCAAACAATGGAATTGGTCTTCGATGGACTGAAAGAAAATCACTGCAAATCAACAATTCTTAACCCAGTAAAAGTATTCTTAAAGAAGAAGAGTGAAATCAATCATTGTCAGACAAACAAAAACGGAGAGAATTTGTTACTGGCAGAGGGCAGACTCACATTTAACAAGATGCCAAAGAGTGTTCTTCACTCAAAAGAACAGTAATCCCAGATGGAAGAGCAGAGACAGGAAAGGGAGGAGAAGCAATTAAGATGGAGAAGTTGGCAGGCTGAATTCTGTACAAAAACGTGATGTGGAAAAACTACAAGGAGCTGCCTTACAGGGTGAGGTTATCTTCCCCTATCCTAGTTAGAAATTATATTTGGTTATAATCTGAAAGAAAACAGTTAAGCCCTATTCTTGCATCACATTTTGGAATGTATTTTTTACTATTTTGGGATGGGGGAAAATTATCCACCATGAAGAAAATATCAACAGATTTTACTACATGATTTTTGAAAAATATAAATGGCCAAAGAAATCATTTACAAAATAATAACTGAGAAAACATTTTTATAATAGTTTATCAGCTAGGATCAAGTTCAGCTGCACACAGAGTGGGACCTGGGGTGGAAACAGGTGGGTAGAGAATTCTTATGAGGTTTGAGATACTATTTTACTCATTCAACCACATATTTCTTATTAACCAATAAGAATGGACAGTGAATTAGGAAAGAAAGGCCAAAACATCTATGTTTTTGATGAATGTAGGGATATTAGTTGGCCTGGCAGCCAGTAGTTCATTCTGTTTTCTGTTATGTAAGTTGGAACTATATTATAAATGCAAATTTCTGATATTTATGATATCAGAGTAAGATAAGAAATAGCATTTTCCAGTGGTTTGAAAAAAGGTATATAGTTGTATTTTCAGGATAATTTAGTTTTTGAGCATGGACTACATGCCCCCTTCTGGAACTATCCCTCCTATCCCTAGAATTTTTAGGTTCATCCTAAATACTGTTAAGACTATCAGTCCAGTTTGACAATATGGGTGAATGTTGAAACCACAATGTTATTCATGCATGTGAAACTTTCATAAGATTGTATATCAAGGATACTTTAATATAATAAAAAGAAAAGAGTATCAGTCCATAATTACTGAGACACAAGTCCTTTGTTCTAAGGCAAGGTCAAGGGGGCTGCCAATTGATCTACTCCATTGTTCTCAAAGCCATCATTAAGGAACAGAATTACTCATCACAAGTGGTGCAGCTGACTGGCTCTCAGTGAATTCCTGTCTCACTCCCATTATCTACTCTGCCACTTCCCTTTATGTCAAGGTGTTTCTATAGCATGCCCCTCTGTTCTCTTAAAACCACCATGCTGAAATGATCATTTATGTCAATGGCTTAGCGGAATCAGTTCAGGAATTATCTCTGTAGATAGGAATAGCTGGATGGTAAAGCTGACAGCTGGCACCCACTGGATTTTATTCACAGAGAACATTAGTGGGTCAGGCAAAAGTGACAGGGAAATATGGGCAGTTGGCCCTCACCCACCTGCCGGAGTTTGGTTCCTACCATGGATGCACTGCTGTCAAGCACAAATACCACATTCTTGGGTAATGGAGGAAGGTCTTTGGGAGCAAAGTAGTGCACAAAATAGCCATTTAGAACCTGGTGGAGGGAAAAGAAAGTAAAAATGATAGTACTCAGAATAAGTAGGAAAACTAACTAAATGGATAACCTATGAAACTTCTAAAAGTCAAAGACAGCATGAAACAGAGTCTACAGCCAGATTCCATACCCAGAGCAAAAGTATCTATGGTCCTGGTCCTTCCATGAGAACTAATTGTTGATTCCACCTGTATAAGGACAGCATTATCCCTTAAAAATGTATTGATGAGGTTGACTACTTCAATCTAAAACATTCATTTTGTCTCTGACCCTTGTCACTTGAGAATCCTGCTTCTTTCATTACCTGGTTTTTACCAAGCATCTTACAAGTCAAGACATCCAAGTTGCCTACATTCTGGATGCACATTAATACATTTTAGTATTCCCACCCTGTTTCTGGAGCAATAAAACCTAAAGGGAAATGAGCCACAGACAAGTCCCTCTCAATTAAAATTGAAGATGAACTAAGACTCTAACTTTATCTAAAACATCACAGGGAAAATTACATCATAAATTTCATTTGCTTTCCAGATTATTGAGCCAGGAAATAGATACCCTCAGCCTCCAGCAAGGCAATACCACCAGCTTCCTTGGAAACATATTTTGGGTTAAAACAAATTTTCTAAGAATCAGAAAAGTTCTCTCTCCCTTAGGTAAGTATTAGAATCCTTAGTTCTTAGTACAACTAAAACTGTCAAGCAATTAACATGAAACAGCAACCACTAACCCATTACCTGGATGTCCCCAATGCTCTGTTCCCTACTGACGTCATATCGAATGATGAAATCTCCCAAAATGCCGTTCTGGGCAATCTTGGCTTGTTGTACCACACTAGGCTTAAAACTGACTTTGGCGAAAGTTTCATTCTGGCTGATAACAGTAGAAGGAGGAGGCCCAGAATCATCTGCAAAGATATAAACATAATTTGTCACTGAATATGCAAATATTTTTCTAAAAAGAAATAAGGGCCATTTTGCATAGATGCAGAGGATTTGACCTTATTTTAATGCAGGTTTGTATTCCAGGTGAATTTTCCAGACTTTGTACTGATAATATATCACAATGCAAGATACACATTATCACACATTTCACCTCTATGCCTCCTTTAAGTCTTTTCTTATGAGAATTTTTAAAACACATAAAAGCAGAGAGAAGTAAAATAAGCCCCCACATACCCATCATCCAACTTTAATGACTACGGACTTTTTGCCCATCCTCTGTAACTGCTTTTATATCTCCCCCTCACCATTTTTTGCTAGTGTTTTACCTAGGCATTATATTTCACCCGTAAATACTTCTGTATGTATCTCTTAACTGTAAGAACTTTTTTTAACATAGCAACACCATTGTCACAAGTAACAAAATCAACACTCAATACCTCAATAGCCTCAATACTCAGTATGGCTCTAAATTTTCCTGATTCCTTAGAATGGCTGGAATGGTTGATTTGTTTGAATTAAGATCAAAACAAAGGCCACACATCCCATTTGGTTTATGTTTCTTAAATCTCTTTTATCTATAAGTGTCTCCTCCCCCACCTTTTTTCTAATGCTACATATATGTTGTGAAACATCAGGCATTCGTCCCATTGAATTTCTCACATCCTGCATTTTATGACTGTTTATCTGTCCTGTCTTGCAACATGCTCCATTTCCCCTTGGTTTCCAACTTTGGCTCACACTGCTACACCTGGGGGGACTAGGAAAAATACTGATGCCCAGGCCCAGAGCTCATTTAATTGGTCTGGGACACAGCCTGGGTGTCAGGACTCTTTCAGTTAGTTCCCCATGGGGGCCTGACGGATGGTCAGGGTTGAGAACCACAGCTCAATCCCCTGAATTTCCTGTGTTGTGGCAGGTAGAGCTAGAGGTTTGCTTAGACGCAGGTTCAATGCTATTGACAAGAACACCCCATTTGCTGCTGAGTACTTACTCCTGCATAATAACTCGTTGTCTACTTTCAGCTGGAATAGGATTGAGGGCAGGTTCCAGTATCGTCAATATGATCACCTGTTAGAGAGTTCCTCATCAATCTTTCACTAAATAGTTTAATCAATCACTAAAGATGTCTGTCCAGATCCACCTTTCATTAGAATTGCAAAAGGATGGTTTGTAATTCTACTAATCATTCCAAATGGAATTATTCCATAAAGAACACCCTACTCCCATTGATTTTTCGGTTACCCCAACATACTGTTTGTCCAGCAAGTTTATGGCTCTTTTTAAGAAAACCAGCAACGATTCCCAAAGCTTTTGCCAGCATGAATCTTAGGCTATAGATTAGAATTACAGAAAAGTAAACATATATGGATTTCGTGTGGTTTAAGAAAAGTTAGTGATGTGACAGATTAAGCAAAGCACATACCATTTTTTTACTCATGACCTGCATTTCCTGTGAGAGCACATGGAGGATTATTTTGCAGAGTGCCCACCTTAAAATCCAAACAACACCATGTCTATAGAATCAGCAACAGAAATCCAAATTTTTTTATTTCTGCATGCACCATAAAGAATATGAAAATAAAAATGGAGAATTCATAAACATCAATATATGTGGAGACTTTTCATCCAGATACTGAATCCAAGCCAAGCTTAAAACTGCTAGAAGGCAGCTGATTATCTTTTAAAATCTATTCAAGTTGATTCTGAAGAGTAAACTGACCAGCAATTTTCTATCCATAATTAGCCAAATAGAAAAGGAAATGAGACATAATTTACCCGTGGTAATTTGTATTTAAAAATAAACTTCCTTCTGCTAAAATAAACGTTTATTAGACATTAAAGTCAAAGGAAGTTTAAACACTTCCCTTAACAGAACAATTATTTTTCAGACATTTTAGGTATAACCTTAGCAGGAACAAAAGGGCAGAACTGGTATCTTCTATTATTTGCACTTGTCAAGGGCAAGCATTTCAGGAGCAGCCAGGTGTGAGCAAATAGGAAAGTTTATTCTTGTAGAAGACAGTTGCATGAAAAATAACATGCTTCCAATGTGCTTATCTGATGAAGGAGTTGGGAAAAATCTCGAGGACATGTTAACAAGTGCCAGCCTCCAGTTCACCAGCATGGTTGATGCCTTAGGAGGAAGGACAAGAGGCCCTTGAAACAGAAGGAAACCACCTGTTCTCCAGAGTCGATCTCTCATTGGTATAGTAAGCAAAGCACACAGAGTGAGAGGTGCACATTAGCCAGGCACCCGGGATCATAACGAGTCAGAAGGACCTACATTCAATACTGGCTCTACCTCTCATCTGTGAAATTTGGGGCAACTTACTGAGCTTTGGTTATCTCACCTGTGAAAAGGATTCATAGTCTAACAAACTCACACTATTGGAAAGATTAAGGGCTGTAATGCACAGTAGGCCTTCCTTATCCACGGGGGAAATGTCCCAAGTCCCCCGTGGGATGCCTGAAACTGCAGATAGCACCGAAACCTACAGATACTATAATTTCCCTACACATACACACACCTATGATAAAGTGTAGTTTATACATCAAGCACAGGAAGAGAGTAACAACCATAATCAATAATAAGATAGGACAATTGTAGCACTATAATGTAATAAAAGTTCTGGGAATAGCTTCTTTCTCAAAGTATCTTACTGCGCTGAACTCACCCTTCTTCTCATCATGAGGTGGGATGACAAAGTGCCCACGTGGTGAGACGCTGTGAGGAGAGGCATGCAGGAGCTGTGACGTGGCCTTAGACTGCCAGTGACCCTCTGACAACTGGTGTGAAATGTAATGATATTATTTGCCAAATGGACCTCTGCCTGTTCTTTTCCTCAGGATAAGTCTGCCTGTGCAGGCACTTAGATGGGGATTGGCTGTGTTCAGAGCAATTCCAGCTGGCGGAGGAGGCCTGGGGAGGGACGTACCGGGAGGCACTTGCACTCTGCATCAGTAAGCTTGGTGGAAGCAGTCTTCACAGGCTGTCTTGTTAGAAGTGTTTGAGCAACTGAATGAGTCATTGCCTGCAGCGATGGTGCAGAGTAGCTCTCCTGGTGTGGCCTTGGCCCACCAGCATCAGGGACACCTGGGAACTTGCCGCAAACACAAATTGCCCAAAAACTCCAAATCAGAAACTGTAGAGGTGGAACCCAGAAATGTGCATTTTAGCAAGCCTTCCATGTGATTCCGGTTCCTGCACAGAGATGATGGTCATGTGCCTTTGACATGTGTACTTAGGTGGCACCTGGTGACCTCTAACTTCAAAATTCTCCATTAATTAGATTTGACTCTATGTGTACTATCAGCACGTACCTACTTTTTCTTGCTTCAAATCTCTCATTGAAATGTTCTTTACAATTACCCTGAATTAATACCATTCATGACTGAATAAAAACACTGAGGATTAAAAAGTGCAATTCCTCTCCTCATAGTTCATTCGACTAAGCTCTTGGATATAAGCCATGAGAAAGGACAATGTATTATTATTTTGGTTTCCTGTTGACCTCTGATGTTTGCTAGTTCATGATGAAAATTCATGTGATTCCTCTAAATGGGTTTATGTTATATGTCCAAAGAGTCGGTTGATTCCCAATTTGGTTACTCCCAAGAAGCCTAGCTCCTGAGACTGACTTCCACCCAGTAAGTACCAGACAGCCAGTGTGATTCAGTGAATTTTCCACTACCTGTCAAAAAAAAATGGTTGCTGGGGAAAATTTCAGAGTAATATTTCTGGAAAATAAAATCCTCTTTTTATTGGAGAATGAAAAGCCCTTTTTATCAATGAGGTTATATAGGCTGCCCCATAGTTACTGACCAAAATCGCAAAGCAGAATAAAATGATTCAGCTTCTCCTTGATGGGGCCTGGGGCTCCGACTGCAGACTGCCACAGAATCATTCCTTAGCACAGTGAGCTTTATCTGCCAGGCCCCAGCAGTCATGGAATGTGTCCTAAAGAGAATGTGGAGCACAGGGAAGAGGCGGGGAGCAGACCAAAAGCAAGAACCTGACCTACTTTCCTGATGAGGCCACATGTGTCTTTTTGTGCTCCTGGTTTCCTCCGTCTGTGCCCACTTGGGTAGGGTCGGGGTGAACCATGCTGACTGCTCTGAATCGAGGAAGCCGAGTCCTCTAATGACATCTTGCTGTTGGAATCCATGCATCAGTAGGCTCCTGCAGGATGGCCCTCAGTGGCATACCGCTGGCTCTGGCACATTCCTCTCTACCCACTCCTCCCTGCCTCTCGGTTATCAGTGTCCCTGATACTCTCTTCCTGTCTAAAGCCTGGGATTTTTGAACAAAAAGAAATGTGTTATTTTAGAAGCCATATAGTACCGAAGAAAGTGGGCTCCAGAGTTGGACAGACTCAAAATGACGGACTGAATATCTCGGAGGCCCTGGAATAAACCCATGTAATACAATCACTGTCAGAATTGAGTGAGATTGAGTCAGTAAGGTGCTGGGCACACAGTAGGTGCTCAATACCTATCAGTCTCCAGCCTCTTCCCCTTCAGAAGTAGCTTCTTGAACTTCTGTCTAGGATGAAACACACTCTGATAACAGTTTACATTTTGCCTCAGTGGCTTTCTCTGAACTACTGAAAGCTTACTAAAAACAAAAAATCACTACTTGGAGGGAAAAAAGGCACAGTGTAATGAGCATTCACAACAGAGAACTCAAGAATGGTTATACGAAAAATGATCTTAACAAAGTATAATGGAGTTAGCAGTCTCCCATGAGCACCCTGAAATTATATATTCAGAATTTTGCATGAAAGTATATGTGTGTTATTTTTTTTTCTGGGAAGAGTGTCTATAGCTCTCGCCAGATTCTCCAAAGAGTCTACATAAGGCTAAGAATCATGCATACAAGTGCTATTAAATATACCTTCCATTGATTCCATCTTGTAATGACAAGGCATTTCATATATTTTACATCAAGGGTAAAGAGAACAAG